GCGCCATTGCGCCAATCCCGCACTGCAATTGGAATTGTCCCTTTAAAAAACGGCCAAGGCGACAATTTGTCCCCTTCAAAATTTAGGGAAAAAACTCCAAAGGAAGCACACACGAAGAGATTTATTTCAGTACTGAGACTGCAAGCTGAAACAGAACGTGGAAAGTATATTTTATCGCACCTTTAAAGTTCATTCCAAAGTTACGCTTCAGTCACACTCTACTGCTATTTGTGTCGGAAATCTAAGACAGGGCTTCTGATTCTTCGCGCGGTCGCGGAGCCTCGAAATTCACAAAAACACGAAAAATACCGCGAAATTCGGTAGAAATCTTATCAAATACATGTCTGTAAAACATATTTGAAACTTATATTTCAGCTATAGGGGCTATTTACTTGCCGTAAACTTGCAAATTTATCTTGGAACTTCGTCACTGAAACGTGCAAACAGATTATGTTGCGAAAAACTGGGCACTAGCCATGATGTTAAAGGCTTTGCCATCGGTTCATTTCTGGAGCGTATTGTTGTTGAAAGAGCAAATGATGAGCTCTGTTAGAAAAACGTTAAAAAGGCTGGTCTGATCAGCGCAAAACCGATCGATTTCTAACGAAATTTGCCTTTAAAATGACCACAAAATCGGCCGTTTTTTACCGATTGCTTTTCGGTGAAGTTTGCCCCGAAAACTCCCGCGCAATCGGCCGATTTTTCCGCGAATTTGTCCCTAAAAATCCCGCGAAATTTGACTTTTTCTTCCAAGACCTATCAGAAGCCCTGCTAAGAAGACAAACCCCTTTGCATCAGCAGAAGGGTGTACAAATTTCTGTCACCCTAAAAATGAATATGTCCCCCAAAAATTTAGCCAAGGGGACAAATTGTCCCCCAGTGATCAAATCCTAGCTCAAACCCTGTACATGGGTAGACAGGGTATACAGGGTATACATGGGTATACGGTGTATACAGGGTATACATGGGTATACAGGGTATACATGGGTATACAGGGTATACATGGGTATACAGGGTATACATGGGCATACAGGGTATACAGGGTATACATGGGTATACGGGGTATACAGGGTATACATGGGTATACAGGGTATACAGGGTATACATGGGTGTACAGGGTATACAGGGTATACAGGGTATACATGGGTATACAGGGTATACATGGGTATACAAGGTATACAGGGTATACATGGGTATACAAGGTATACAGGGTATACAGGGTATACAAGGTATAGAGGGTATACAGGGTATACGGGGTATACATGGGTATACAGGGTATACAAGGTATACATGGGTATACAGGGTATACAGGGTATACGGGGTATACATGGGTATACAGGGTATACATGGGTATACAGGGTGTACAAGGTATACAGGGCATACAGGGTATACATGGGTATAGAGGGTATACATGGGTATACAGGGTATACAGGGTATACAGGGTGTACAAGGTATACATGGGTATACAGGGCATACAGGGTATACATGGGTATAGAGGGTATACATGGGTATACAGAGTATACAGGGTATACCTGGGTACACAGGGTATTCAGGGTATACAGGGTATACATGGGTATACATGGGTATACAGGGTATACAGGGTATACCGCGTATACATGGGTATACATGGGTATACAGGGTATGTATGGGTATACATGGGATCACATGGGTAGTGTATACAGGGTATACATGGGTATACAGGGTATACATGTGTACACAGGGTATACACTGGCATACAGGGTATACAGGGTATACATGGGTGTACAGGGTATACATGGGTATACAGGGTATACAGGGTATACATGGGTATACAGGGTATACAGGGTATGCATGGGTATACAAGGTATACATGGGCAGGGTTTGAGCCAGGCCGCGCCATTGCGCCAATCCCGCACTGCAATTGGAATTGTCCCTTTAAAAAACGGCCAAGGCGACAATTTTTCCCCTTCAAAATTTAGGGAAAAAACTCCAAAGGAAGCACACACGAAGAGATTTATTTCAGTACTGAGACTGCAAGCTGAAACAGAACGTGGAAAGTATATTTTATCGCACCTTTAAAGTTCATTCCAAAGTTACGCTTCAGTCACACTCTACTGCTATTTTTGTCGGAAATCTAAGACAGGGCTTCTGATTCTTCGCGCGGTCGCGGAGCCGCGAAATTCACAAAAACACGAAAAATACCGCGAAATTCGGTAGAAATCTTATTAAATACATGTCTGTAAAACATATTTGAAACTTATATTTCAGCTATAGGGGCTATTTACTTGCCGTAAACTTGCAAATTTATCTTGGAACTTCGTCACTGAAACGTGCAAACAGATTATGTTGCGAAAAACTGGGCACTAGCCATGATGTTAAAGGCTTTGCCATCGGTTCATTTCTGGAGCGTATTGTTGTTGAAAGAGCAAATGATGAGCTCTGTTAGAAAAACGTTAAAAAGGCTGGTCTGATCAGCGCAAAACCGATCGATTTCTAACGAAATTTGCCTTTAAAATGACCACAAAATCGGCCGTTTTTTACCGATTGCTTTTCGGTGAAGTTTGCCCCGAAAACTCCCGCGCAATCTGCCGATTTTTCCGCGAATTTGTCCCTAAAAATCCCGCGAAATTTGACTTTTTCTTCCGAGACCTATCAGAAGCCCTGCTAAGAAGACAAACCCCTTTGCATCAGCAGAAGGGTGTACAAATTTCTGTCCCCCTAAAAATGAAAATGTCCCCCAAAAATTTAGCCAAGGGGACAAATTGTCCCCCAGTGATCAAATCCTAGCTCAAACCCTGTACATGGGTAGACAGGGTATATATGGGTATACAGGGTATACATGGGTATACATGGGTATACAGGGTATACATGGGCATACAGGGTATACAGGGTATACATGGGTATACGGGGTATACAGGGTATACATGGGTATACAGGGTATACAGGGTATACATGGGTGTACAGGGTATACAGGGTATACATGGGTATACAGGGTATACAGGGTATACATGGGTATACGGGGTATACAGGGTATACATGGGTATACAGGGTATACAGGGTATACATGGGTGTACAGGGTATACAGGGTATACAGGGTATACATGGGTAGACAGGGTATACAGGATATACATGGGTATACAGTGTATACAGGGTATACATGGGTATACAGGGTTTACAGGGTATACATGGGTATACAGGGTATACAGGGTATACATGGTATACATGGGTATACAAGGTTTACAGGGTATACATGGGTATACAAGGTATACAGGGTATACATGGGTACACAGGGTATACATGAGTATGGACATTCTGTTTGTTTGTTTTTTTTGTTTTATATTAAAGCTTTTGCAATACTGTAACTACATAATTATAGTCATGCAAATAAAGCTTATGTTGTTGTTGTTGTATTACCATTATATGAAACAGTAGGTCTCTTTGGCGTAAGCGTAACATGAAAGAGTAACCAAGGTATTTAAGCACCGCTGGAAGATGGCGAATTCGTCATTACCACGGTCTATTTTATATCTTACTGTTAAAAATACAATTATTTAATAATTTTGACCCGGGGGGGGGGGACTCCCATTTGAAACAGACGGGGATGCTCGTCGTCTCGCTTAGGGGTATAAATTTTGGATTTTGGTCTCGCTTAGGGTGTTCCGGGCAAAGCGCCAATATTTTAAGCCTCCAGGGTCTCGTTTAGGGTTCCGCGAAGAACTTGAGATGTATGACGATGCTTTTAAAAACTACGTTGCGATAAAAGCATTCGATGATTATGTCTTTATATCATTAAAACTCATTGCATGTCGTATTTGTGTGTTTTTAAGCGGTCTCTTTTAGGGGTCAAAATTTGCCTAAGCCACGCCCAGATTGGTCTCCGTTAGGGGTCACTAAAAGCTTGAGCCACGCCCAGATGGTCTCCTTTAGGGGTTAAATTCAAAATTTCCGACGAGCATCCCCGTCTGTTTCATATGGGAGTCCCCCGCCCCCGGGAATTTTGACTACGTAATGATAATGGAACTCTCAGCTGCCGTGCAGCAATAAAAACACCTGCACTCAATCATCACACATAAAATTCTCTTATTATGGATGGCCTCAACGAGCGGGCGAAATGAAGCAAATCTTGTATTTTGATTGGCTACCTAAGGAAGTAATCCGCTCGGGATTTCCCGTAACGTTCCCGTAAGAAAAATTTTCTTTCGTCTATCTAAGAATTCCTCGACCAAATTTGTTCGGTCAAGATGGCAAGAAATTGAACTTGTTCTTTTAATGCGTTTCATGGACTGAGAGTGAGTAAAGTAGCCCTTCATCTCTGCGTGCATCCTCAGAGGCAGAGGGGAAGAAAGCAAATTAAAAAAAGAGGCGGCAAAGATGATGTTTTTCCGCTGCAGATTTGGACTATTTTTCACATCACCATCACTGACAGTGTCTCAAAAGAGGGATAAATCCATAAAGACCATCACATATGGGTTCGATTAATACGCTAACCTAGTTAACAGTTCATACAGCATTTTAACAACTCTCTGTCTAGCGCTATCATATTTCTCTATCAAAAATAATAAATAAATCATAAATAAATATTTCTCTATCATAAATTCTTCTTTTTCACTTATTATAGACACACGCAGCGTCTTCTATGAAGTAGCGGGTACTAAAATGAACTGGACCGCCGCATCGTTGGACTGTCGACTAGCAAAGATTAGCAATACTGATGAACTTTGCGACGCCCAAACTGAAATTCGAACACAAGATGATGACGTCAACTTCTGGACGGCTCTTAAAGTGGAAAATGGAAGCTACCTCTGGGGCAATCAGCCGGTCGACCGTTTGAACTCACATGCGCTCCTTGATGAAACGGAGTCAGGGAACTGCTATGTAATAAGTAGAGACACAATAAAACTGAAGTCAAAGGACTGTAACGAAGTAAAGATGGGTCTTTGTTATCACGACTCGCAAGGTTTGTCCGAGTCATTGTAGCTTCCTTATAATACCTGCATGGATAAACTAAGAAACTTCGGTAGGACAGCATTTTTATGTACCCAAATCTTTTCCTAGTTGAACAAGAAAAAATTTGCTTCCTGAAATCTGAAAACAAGAAAATATAGCCTAAGAAAACAGCTGTCATTTCGAGACGCCACCAGAGATTTCCCAGCGGGGAAACCAGTAATGACGTCGAGAAATGTCAGCTGTTTTCAGTCTCAGGCCAGTAGAGGAAATAGTGCTTTTAAATCAAGTTAAAAACACATTGATGACCTCAACAAACGTTCCGTGGTTTAATCACACTGATAGTGAAAAAAAAAGTTTCCTACTTTAATGCATACATACACAATCCTTTTCACGTTTCGCATTTTTTCGAAAACAAGTAGGACAAGGTTAAGTTAATAAAACAAGTATAATTCAAATAAAATTTGTTTGCAGACAATTCCACTCCGAGGCCCGAAACGTACAGTGATGAATGTATTAAATACAAGGTATGTTTCTATCCGAAGTTCACATAATAATTTTGGATGAAATGAGGTTTTATCTCTTTGGAAAATGTGATACGAAGCTAAATTTGTATGATATGATTTTTAAATTGCAGCTTTCTAGCTGCTTGAAGGAGAGTATAAATTATTCGCAATGGAAGGTAAGGACGTTATTTATTTTTGTGCTTTTCCTACAACCACAAAACGGCCATTTCCAAGAAAAATGAGAGTTGCTCAATGATTTTGTTGACAGAACTTGAACTGCAGGTGGTCAGGTGGTGGCAAATGCGAGTGGAAACTGCGAGTGGAAACTGAGAGCATGGACTGCTGTGAGGTGTACTGCAAATATGACCAAACATACGCAGTGGATTCAGGGAAACCAGACATAAGTGAGTTTCTTTCTGACTCATACTTTATGGTAATTGGATGAAGAAGTATATTAATGAACCTAATCAACCTGACGTTTGCTTCTTCCGACATTATTGATTGATTGATTGATCGATTTTTGTCGCCTTTTCCGTTATGAAAGTCCTTATCGTTTCATTTAAATCTCTATTTTCGAAAGAAGTGGCAAATATCAGAGCTGTAAGCTGGCTTTACAAGCAAATTGTCAAAACCCTCTTTCTTCACGAGCAATTAAAACCTTTTTTCCTGAACCTTATCAACAGGTGTTAAAGCGAGAAAGGTTCAAAAGGAATGGTCACAAAAAGTAGAAATTGGATTTAATACAAGCGAGAAAATTACAATAACACACAGGCTGTTTAATGATACAGGTTGGTAATGCGTTTGTATACCTTTATATATACAGTCATAGAATACTTGACATTGATTTGATTCAGTAGAAATCGAAAATAAGATCATAGTTCTGAATCAAGTATCGTTGTTACTTAAGCTAGAGTTTTAAAGTATGCAGAAAATATGAGAAAGCGGAATCATATATTAACTACTCAGCCTGGGCCAGGCTCTGCAGTTGGGAAAGGGCGAAAAAAAAAAAATCGTCAAGCGAAACGAGCTGAGCGCTCGGCTCGCTTCGCTCGCCGCCAAATGTTTTTGTACTGTTTCAATACTTTTTTTGCCATTTTTTCCCACAACGGAGCCTAGTCCCAGGATAATAACTACTTAGATGTTACATGTAAATGGTTTATAACATATTTCTGTTTGAATTAATTATTATATCATTAGAGACAATTGTCGTGGTTTCACTGCTTCCATTGAAAGATCAAGACTCAGTTTCGAGGCTAAATAGCGGGTAAGGCCCACCATCAATACTGAAATGAAGCTAACTTTTAACGATTTATTCCGCAGTCCTATTTAATACAAGTCATGTTTCGTGCTATTTGTACCATCATGCCCAACCCCTCTCCCTTTTTCCCTATCTCCTACCCCTTTTGATGCCTCCTACGCAGGCCACATCATGACAGGAAGTGAAGTCCAGTTGAGTCTTGAAAGGATAGAGACGGCTGCTGAGAAATATCTGGGAAAATGTCCCTATCCTTCTAATATATGGTTGTGTAACAAGCTATATCCCGTTCGTTAACATTTGTTGAGTGAACGTATTCTCCATTTATCCAGCAGTGACACTTTGGTTACCTCCGTTACTGGAGTGGTACTTAGTCCCCGCTTCAACAAGACGGTTCCAAATTTGGTTATCCTCGAGTTTACCCATCCCAAGGTGAGCGGATAAGAGATCATGTGATCTCGTAAGTGAGAAAATGTCTAAAAAGTACTTAACTTTGGTAACGAAGAGGGGGGAGGATCAGATAGTCACGTCCCCGTCGTCAAAAATTGCACATGGACGCTATTTCAAAGTCGTTCGAACAACTACTTGCATATTGAGACTATTCAGTTGCTTGTTCAAGCCCTGGGGAAGGGGAGATACTCAAAGAGGTTTTAAACTGGGAGGCTCCGCCCGGAGGTCCAACCCTCTACCCTTTTATACACCATTTTTGACAGAAAAGGTACCTGTCAGTTCCTATACCTTCTCTAACTGCCAAATGGTTTAATTCCTTTCATATATACCTAGTTTAGAACGCTGCACCCCTTAAAAATATGAATATTAATGAGTCAGTTAGTCTCATTTTTCTTTTCGATCGAGCTCGACAGTCTTTAAAGAGAAAATAGATGGTCTGTTAACAGGCTATAGAACAATGAACCAGGAAGTTTTTCTTGCCTATCTTCACAGCCATAAAACGCCCTTGTTAGACATTTTAGGTCCCCGGCTCTACAGACCAAAATGAGAAATTTTACTACGATCGATATGAAAAAAACTTAACCTTTCGATGGATTAATGTCATCTTTATCCAAATATACTTCAACTCATGAAATCTCTTTTTGATAAACCTAAGGCCAAAACATGTACCCCTTTCGGTCGGAGCCTGCTTGTATGGGCGTTGTAGGGAGTATATTTTTTGTTAAACATTACTCCCGGGGGATCTGAAGCCTATATACAAGCTGTACCATTCTCTTTTCTATGAAACGAGTCTTTTGAATTATCCTTAACGTCAATTTTCTGAAACTTGCATTCTTTTTGTTGAGGTCCTTCAAGAAAAAGTCATAAGAAAATGTGTCTTTTGGAAAGAGGACATCTGGTAGGTGAATTAGCTGCAGTTCCTTAGTTTTTCCTTGCGTCGTTTAAGTCGATAATTTTTTCCATGTGCCTTCTAATTATATCAGTTAGACCTGTCTGTCTCCTTGCAAATTATCATTTCTTGTTACAAGAAAATATTCAACTTCAGCGTGTACACAATGTAAATTAAAATCAAATAGAAAGACTAACGGAAGGGATTTTATAAGGATAGACTAACAATATATTTCACAGGCCCCAGAGCTCCTCTTGATTATAGTCAGTTCTTGAAACTGATCATCTGATAGCTCCTCTATTGCTTTCCCTTAAAAGGACACCTAATGGTTCGTGGTCAAGTGAAGGCTGTACCTTATTGAACGAGTCATCGACAGAGAGAACAGTTTGTAGCTGTAATCATCTGACAAACTTTGCTGTTTTGATGCAGTATAAACCTGTCCAGGTGAATATTTTTTGACGGAATCATTTCCTCGCTAGATCCTCAGTGTTTCGAGAGCTTCTCATTATTTTTCGGAAAATTGCTAGCCGTCAAAATAGGGATAGTGATAATCATCATAATAATAATGACTTTATATAAAAAAAAACCTTTGGAAAATCTGTACCCAAACTTTGTTGCGCATGATTAAAAAGCAGCTAACATAACGACTGATTAGGGATGGGTCAAAATGTATGGGGGGGGGGGGGGGGGGGCGGAGTGGGCCGGAGCATTTGGAAATGTGGTTGATAAAAAACACATGACCCACCCCCTCCCTTCGGCACAAAAATGACTGACCCACCCCTAAAGCAAGGTTGGAAATTGCATGACCTGCACCCCCTAGTTAAAACACGGATGTTCCGGTTCCTCTTAATAATCCAATAAAACCTTGTTCTGTGCTTGACAAAATTTGTTGATACACTGCTACAACCAATATCAAAATCACAGAAATCATACCTTTCACTGAAAAGACAAATGTGAAAAACCGAACATTTCTTGTTTCAATGGACGTTTAAATGTGAGTCTTGACACAAATGTACAGCAAAACGAGGGTATATTGAAATTTTGTCACAAAGCATATGAAAATTTCAACAAAGACAACCCATTCCTACCCTACACATTACTTGCCGGAAATGCTTAGATTAATCCTCAAAGAAAATTTCTTCCACTTCAGTGGAAAGCACTACCTACAAAACCATGGAACTGCAATGAGCACAAAGACAGCAGTTTTGTTTCCTTTGCCAATGTTTTCATGACATATATTGAACAAGCAAGCTTACATCACCCAACTAATGAATTCACGGTCGAAACATTTGACACTGAGACTGCGTTTTTAGACACGGTTGTATACAAAGGCACAAGATTCAAGGAAAAATTTATCCTTGATACAAAGACACATTTTAAACAAACGGAAAGCTTCTTGCACACACATTTCACCTCGTGTCACCCTCCAAATGTTAAAAAAAGAATTTGTCAAAGGAGAAGCCTTAAGAATCCTACCAAAAAACTCTTCAGAAACAACCTTTGAGGAAAATAATTCAAATTTAAAAAAAAAAACGCTTGATGGCATGGACGGAGGCTACCCACAATCTTTCAGGGGCACCCAACGTCAATTTTCGGAAAATATCTGTTCGAAAGACGATTTGCGATCTGGAATTTTGGGAACATTTGCTGTAAAACTTCTTGTTTGTCTGCCCCTCCTAGGATTTTCGAACATCTAAAAAAACGGTATAATTGCCTATTTTTTGATCCCTATAATTTTCGTATCACTAGACTTTCAGCTAGGAGATCCGAACAGATGGAAAATTTTTAGGGGATAAAAATATGCCTATATCTACCGTTTAAATTGGTTTTGAAGTATATTCTCGTTGGGTGCCCCCTATCTTTGATAGAAAACCTACTGTCAGAAATAAAATTCACAAAAGGAAGTCTAAACTCCTAAAACAAAGCAACAGGGAGGAAAAAGAAATATTGCCATTCGTGACACAATACCAGCCCTCAGTGTCTACTATAAAGAAGCTTGAATGAAAAAATGGAACCTTATACAAAACCAACTATAACTTCAATAAATTTTTAAAGAACCACCAATCATTTCCTTACAAAAAAGAAGAAAAACGGTTCACAGAGGGTTCCACGCCCGCATAGATGTGCGGCCTGTCAACCTTTGTCTTTTCTCGCACAACAGGATTGTGAGTATTTTAGCCATAATTCCAGTGGGTTGTGTTTTATATAATAATTGTAGTCAACTGTCTCGTTAGTAGTTAGTAAAAAATAGGGTGACCCACCCCTTAAGGGTAGCTGAAAATTGCACGACCCACCCCTTGCACAAGGCTCAAAACCTCATGACCCACCCCCTCTCTGCTCCGGTCCACCCCCCTCTATACTTTTTGACCAGTCCCTTAACATTGAAACGAAGGAGATTTGGTGCATTGCCCTTAGCCCCATCAGGTAACTATTGATAAAATCAGAAACTGACACCGAATAAAGAGGCTATAATAAGAGGAGAATGTTTGCAAATACTTAGACCTAAATTAAGGAGACTACATAGAACATTTAGCTATTAGGAAGGTTGCGCATAAGTAATAGAGAAACGAAGGACTAGGAATGAAAGTATATTATGGGTTTGCCTTTATCAGTGATAACACCCGCGTATGTTGTGTTTAATTAGAATCCCAAAGAGCACGAGACATATCTGTCAATCATAACATACATAGGATGTGCTTTGTCTCTCATTGGAGAGGTTATGGTCGTCATTATATATGTTGTGTTCATGTAAGTATTATTCCCTTTTTCATAGCGTGAAATCAGAGAGAAAATTAAATGTAATAGACTTAAACCAGCGTCATCCGATTGGCTTACGTATCGCGGGCTTCCTCAAATCTTTCTCCGTTTTCTGACTATATCCTTTAAAACATTATCGTGTATAATAGGACAGAAAATGTTTCTTAATAAAGTAAAATAAATGAACATTTAATAAAACACTGAGTACACTGTGGACACTATACATTCTCGGATGGTGATCCGTATTACACTTAATCCTGGAGATTTGAGATGGTATCATTCTCGTACATAGTCGTTTTTGATTAACATTTTATGCAGGATATGTATCTTTTGTGGTCTTCTGCTTGTAGCCAAACATTACAGTTGACATTATTTCAATGATAGAAAGGAATCGACATTATTTTCGGCTTTATTTGTAGGAAGTTTAGAGCTGAGGGGATTCAGATTCGGATTAATCTTGCTACAGCACTATTCCTTGCACAAGTAGTTTTTCTCTCTGGGATAAATGCTACAATTAATCGGGTTAGTGTACATTTATATCACCGTACGCATTTAGTTTTGCAATCAAAGCAGTTTTAAGCTCATATTATCTACACTTTGCAGTTTTAATAGTCAATTGGTTGACAAATAGCGACATCTTCAAAAAAAGACAGAAGCTAAAGCAGTTATTTTGCTTTCAACATGACTTCCATGCAAACCACTGCCTTAAAATTATGCACTGATGGCATGCTTTTTTATCTTTTATAGCTTGCGTGTGTGTCAGTTGCGGTTTTGCTTCACTACTTTTACTTAGCATCGTTCGGCTGGATGCTCTTAGAGGGAGTATATCTCTACATCATGGTGGTTGAGGTCTTTGCTAGCACAGTTAAATTGCTGTACCTATATTTATTTGCATGGGGTAAGTTCGGCAGTTCTGTGCTTTTTACTTAGTTTTGTGTTTATTTGTTCTAAATTTCTGACACAAGAGTATCCTTGCGCAATTCATGACAAACAGGCAACCATATTTCGATCATATGATGCAATTTATAGGAGAAATATTCTGTTATAATGCTATCCACTTTTTTTGACGTAGTCCCCCAAAATGCAGAGTTAAACGTTGTGCCGGGGTATGAAGTCGGACACGCAGGTTTTTTACAAATGTTTAAGGGACGACGTCTAAACATTTACCATTGTGCTTATGTTTGTAATACAAGACATGCTGTTAGTTTCCTTGAATGATTAGCAAATCGCTAATTTTTTGATAATTTTTACTCGATTGTTTGACAGGTTTCCCAGTCATACCAGTTGTTATATCTCTCGTGGTTGGTTTTAAAGATGGGGAAGGATTGAAATACTACACAAACGAACATTTGTAAGACACTTAAAATTAATGTAATTCATTTTCACTTTTTGTATCGTTTCCTGGTTAGGTTTGAACTTCAGTACTTTTGCAAATTGTCACATATGACATGTGACTATGTGAAGGTATTTGCAACAATAATCGAATCTTTACTTCTTCTTTCAGTTGAGATAAATTACTACGAGCTTTCGTGTTGAGTTTTAAAAAGGTTACTGGCGCGAAAAGCTGATATTTACGGCTTAAGTGTAGTCGTGAAAATTAGGTTTTTCGCGTAAAATTGGTTGATTGGTTTTAGCGCAGGATGCAAAAGATTTTCTAGTGCTTTGAACTATTTAGCCATGACTTTTTTGTTTGGTTTTGATTTGTTTTTGTTTGTGAAGGCGTATGTCGGCCGAGCGGGTAACACCTCAAACTCCAAGCCCCGCCCGTGGCATCGTTCTCCTTAGACAAGGGACTTTACCACACTTTAGCTCTCTTTACCCAGGTGTATAAATGGGCACTGGCGACATACTGCTGGGGGGTGACCCTGCGATGGACTGACAGCCCGTCCAGGGGGACGGTGGCAATACTCCTAGACATGCTTCATGCTAGGGAAACCAGGATAAGCTCCGGCCTTTTGGGCCTTTGACTGGTGTGCGACTTTACCTGACGCTTAGTTTTTCTGCAGCTGTTGGTTGTCATTCTCCAAGCATTTGAGCTGGTTTTTTGTTGGTCCTGTGCTCCTTATAATGACTGTAAGTATGCTGCATGTATGTTATACCGGTATCTTAAATTTCATGGCTACGAGCTATCGATGCTTCTATCGAACAAATGCACCGGCTTCTTAAAAGCGTGACCCTCACTTTCAGAATGTTTTTACTGGCTGCATCACTGAATAAGGGCCCTTTATCCTAAACTATGCAGAATTTTAAACTTCAGCAATACAATTCAGTTCCTCACCTGATATTTATATGATTGACTACAATAGTATCTTTTTCGTAGACTGTCTTACGGAAAGTACTCGTTTGTCGTAATGATTCATAAACGCTGCTGATGCGAAACACCGTATGATCGTTTTCAGGTCAACTTTGTGATACTCCTGGCAGTCTTACGAGAGATAAGAAACTTGCAACAGCCCAATCCAACTAGATTGAAGGCTTTTAAGTAAGTTAAGTAAATTATAAGTAATAAAGTTATATGCGGGACATTGAAGTTACCTTTCTTTTCTTTGCCATAATGCCTAGAGCTTCGCCTACAACATTCCTAAGAGCCTGGGAGGTGCCTTCCAACAGCACTCCACTGGGTATTAAGTCACTTAATAATAGTTCACTTTAAAATCAAAGGGAGAACTGCTGTCATTAATAAAATGAAATCGTGACATTTGTCTAATTTTTCTCTGTTTTGTTGTGTGACTAGGAAAAGCCTTAAGGCTTGTGTCATTCTTTCACCTCTGCTTGGAGTAACCTGGATGTTTGGTTTGTTGGCAGTCACTGACGCTGGATTGGTTTTCCAATATATCTTTACCATTCTCAACTCTGCTCAGGTTTGTGTACTGTCACTCTGGCCCACACGTCGCCAAAATAGCTAAATAATAATCTTTGTTTTACTATTCTGTGAGTGTTTAAGCTGGTCCTTTCATTTGTCACTCTCTCAGAAAGTCACCTTTTTTAACAGGGTATGGTTATATTTCTCTTGCATGTCCTGAGGAACAGCGAAGTTCGAGCCTCGTTTCACCACAAGATATTGAGATGGAGGTTCGATAGACATCCAGTCCGAGTCCACAAAACCTCCTCCCAAAATACCAGCAGACGAGAAGATGATCCTAAAGCTATTAACAAAAACAGACTCGATACCCAGTCAGGAGAACATTTTACTCTTCACCCTAGAAATTCTGTCTCCTAAGGTTTATACAATAAATAAGGGAGCGGTTACACAGCCGGACTGAGAGAGCGTGGAAAAGATAAATTTCCAGTATTATCGTCAATTATAACTATTATATATATATGTAAATTTATGAAGTTATTAATTAATATTAATTAATAGTTAATGCTTCTCAATTAAAATGAATTGAACGCTCTACGAAATATATTCTACCTAGAATACAAGTATTTATTTGTAAATTTAAGTAGAAAATAAACACAAGTTCAGACATTGTAACAAATATAATAAAATAACTTCGAAAAAATGCCGCTTATAAAAACAGCAGCTAGCAGCTCCTTGTCAACGTTATAAAGATCGATACGCACCACCTGCACACATTGAGCTGGTGTCTTCGCGACCAATAACACCAAGACATACCGTGTCTTAATTGACCAATTAGGTCAATAAATACCGGACGATACAATTGACTTTGACTCTTGAGATGACTACCGTACAGGTTGTCGAAACGTCAGTCACTGTCAACAACTGTCCTATTCAAGACTACACTTACCCGGACGATCATATTCCATCTACTTATGATAACACATATCTGCTAAAATTCTGCTTTCACGCAACTGAGGAAATATATATATTTAGTATATACTAAAACAGTGGATAGTGTTTTTCGCGCGCTCTGATTGGCTACTCAATCAGTGAATATCCTGCACTATTCACTGATTCACCTCCAGTTCCTCCGAGCGAGCGATGCCAACCTCGCGTAGGTTGCGAGCAAAATGCTTTCCCGGTTTGCTGCCGTAACAAACTAAGAAATTTCACAACTAATCAAGCAAGCTATTTCCGAAATACGTGAAGAAGGTGACGAAGTTCGGTTTGGAAGTTTTAGCAGATAAAGCTTTGTCTTTTTGACTTGAATAGTTATCGATAAAACCGGTGAAAAAGTTTTTTGTTTACAAATGCAAATTAAGCTTAAGTCTTGCGTTACTTTATTTAGTTGACTTGTTCATAAATAAGCTTAAAACTAAATTTAATAATCTTTTTTACAGAATTATTTTAAATACAAACAGAATTCACAACTCCTTTTGAAGAAACTTCCCCGCAAGAGCTAAACAATCGCCTTCAAAAGTTTTATTTGTCGCTAAGACTAAAGCGACGACCGCGGCCGTTCGGTCATCGCGCGCCAAACTTGAAATCGTTAGCATGACTTGAAAAACGCCTAGTCATAACCTCGTACTACGCTTAGCTGTATTAGCAGCTGTATTTCACTACACTCTCCTTATCAAATAAGAAACAAAAAATACCTTCATTTTTGAAGTTTATATCAATTAAACGAATTTCTTGGTACACAGTTTCCAAGGCCTGCTGTATTACTGTTTCCATGTTTCCTTCTCGCCGGTCCATAGTGGCACGCGTACACTGTTTCAAAGAGAAACATTTATTTTAAGCAAAACAAAAATTAACTGGGAAAGTTTCTCCTCGGTTAGGTTAATCCTAAAAGAATAATTAATAAGTAAAATAAATTAAGTAAACTAGACGATATCTCAATAACATTGAAAGACACCTGAATGTTGTTAGACCTTGTTAACATTGATGAACGAGTCTATCTTACCTCTTTGCGCCACCTTGCACCGTGTCAAGTCTCCACTTGCTCAATTCACTTCATCTTTCTAGTTTTCTTTTCCCTTTATTATTCTGAGAGCTCACATCCATCCTTGTTTTTTTTTTTTAAATTGCCATAAGGTTTGTACACTTTGAAGAAATAAACAGCTTAGATAGAAGGTCAAAACCGTGTTACTGAGGAAAGTGTGAAAATGGCGGGAATTTTGGTTGTCGCCCGCGACAGTTCAGCTCGTATTTGATTGGTTATCCGCGATCATCTCTTTCTATACGTCAAATGAGTCAAATAGTTTTGGATATAAAAAGGGGGTAGAGTGGTAGACGATAAACTGAACCAACTGGTCAAGAAAAATTAATTTCCACGACAGAAAACCTACCCTATAAAACCTATAAAGTGGTGCACAAGGAAAATGAATTATCAGAGGACTATGCGCTTTTATGACCCCACAACACTATTGCCGAGAACGGTCCCATTTTGTCAATTTTAATATTTCGTTTTCTGCCGTGTTACACAAGAGTTCTCTAAACATGTTAAACATGAGCGCATTTTCTTGGCTTTGGAGGTGGGGTCGGTAGTTCGGCGGCCAGGGAAAAGCGCCCTGGGGACGAGGTTGTCGCGGCTCATGCAGGTTAATACCCAGGGGCCCAGCCAGGAAAGACAGGGAATAATATGTACGTAAAACGTCCTAATGCAAAGGTTTTCTTCTAGTTCAATGTTTAAAGAACTTATTTTCAGTAAATTTAATGTGAATCAAAGGAAAAATGTTGATCACTAGTTTACCATTCTGGAATCCCACATCGTTGATCCTCAATTCCCCCATTTAATTTGTCATGCAGTTAGGGATGCGATGCGCATGTCGTAACGTGGAAGTCCGAGTGGACCTCGGACCGCGATCTTTCACTGTTGATCACTCAGTTCACCCACTTAGTTTACTGTAAGAATTTTACTCGTCATTGCGGAGAAAAATGGCGCCACCAGGAGATTCCAAAACGTTTTTCAAAGCAGAGGGCGGAAGAGGACAAACTAATCCCAAAGATCTTGAAGAATTAGTACGGAAAGCGAACAAAACCAGTGGAGACAGAACTGGCGTGAATGGGATTCTACTTGGTCCACCCGGCGCTGGGAAAGGAACTCAGGTTAATTACCTTAATACGTCCATGCTGGGCTTGTTAAAGTCCCTTTCTTGCTGATCCTGGTCTATGTTAAGAAAGTCTGTCTATGAGTCAGGTTTGAGTGACCACAGATATGGGATATGGGCCCTTCCATTATTATTAACTATCCGCCCCCTGTGGTCAAATTATGAGTTCCATCCCTTAATAAAAGATCGGAGTGCCAACCTGTTCCTTTTTTACGAAAAAGAAAAACAAACGAAATTTCATCAAAAGATCTTGGGTACTGATGTAGCTACCCCTCCAGAAATGACTTTTGAAGAACCCCTCTCCCTAGGATTTCATTGTCCTTCAGTGTGGCTGCAATTAGGTGAAGGTGGAAGCACTGTCCAGTAGAGAAGTATTTTTCACAAAGGCATCTGGGAGGTAAGGGACATCCATAGCCTGAATTTCAGCCTTCCCCTGAATCAACAAGCTGTAATGCTGTCCACTGATGTCACTACTTGAAAACCAGGTAGTGATTATGATAATTTTGCAGACTGATCAAACATTCTCATAATTATGTATAATTTAGATTTTAGCGAGACTGTCATTTGATATTCTGGGTATCGCATGCTTGCGTGGAGTAAAAAATATTGACAGTCTTATCGTAAACAGCAAAGTAATCCTTGTAATTAAAACGAATGACTTGTTTACTCAATGCGGAAACTCAGTAGGTTTCATTAAGAGCCATTTGGTGGTTTCAGCAGCGATTTTATTTATGCAAAGCATCAGTGACCAATGTTTTTGCAATTTTACATCAAGCTTGTGCAGCAAATTTTAGAACTTTCTACCATTTCCACTGTTAAATGTAATGATTCTGTTACTTTTTCTTTCTTGTTCGCTTGCTTCTGTTCTTCTTTGTTGAGGACCAAACTAACCCTAACTTCAAGAAAGTTAAAGGAAGCATCCCATGTGTATTTCAATCTTGCGTGGCAAAGATGGAGTTTGATTATTGCAAAAGATTAGTGTATAATACTGCATGTTAACAGTTTGAACATTTAACGTAAAACAATTCTGTGCCATGTAGACCTTTCTGGACAATATTTCTTTACTGTGAAAGGTTTGAACCCTGGAGTCATTTCAAAAGTAGGTTGAGTTTGATCGCCTGGGTGAACGTAGTCCTGAATAGGACTGTTGTTGTTGACGGTCACTGTCAACAGCAACAGTCCTATTCAGGACTACGTTCACCCGGACGATCAAACTCAACCTACTTTTGAAATATTTCTTTATTTGCCATTTGAAAATTGTGTTTTACTTCTGACATGAATTAAAGCAAAGGAGCAGTGATATCACTGGATAGTATTAGCAGCTTGTTGATCCAGACGTCCCTTTCAGGAGCAAGGGATTTGAGTGGATGGCTGAAATTCAAGCTAGGACACCCACTGTTGAATCACAGATTAAATTAGTGGATTGATATGTGGAACCCTGGACCTGATAAGCCTTTCGGAAAATTTTTGGCTCATAGAATTATTCCTACATTTACAAATTAACAAGGTATAAAACATTATTCATTCATACTCGGAAGCTTTCGGACACTGAATTTAAGGTTCTCAAAAATCTGTGCATCTGCATGGGTTTGTTCTTGGTAAACCAAAGGTGTTGTGTTAACAGAGTGTAATAATTATTAATATTATTATGATTATTAGGCACCAAAACTAGCGGAGAAATACTGTGTTTGTCATTTAGCTACTGGTAAGTACAGAACTACATATTATACTGTCTTAGATATGATTTCTGCATCTTCCTTCTCACTAATGACTAGTGCTATCAGTTAACCCTCTAACCGGCAATCGTACATATAACCATATGCACAAAAGGGTAAACTCTCTCAAGTTCTGTGATTTGGCTCCTAGACTGTTTCAGTGCTTTTTACAGAAAATAGTTTTTGTGACTTTATTTTTGAGAGGACTTTAGCGGCAGCTTGCATCAAATCTTCTGATTTTTTTAGCTGTAAAATCCTAGTTTTTGTCATCTGTGGAGCTTTAAGGAATTGTACTCATGGGTGTGATTCACTTCAACTAACCTGCAACATAGATCAAAACTTGCAATTCTGAACATAAATCTTCAAACAAAGGAAAACAAGTTCTAATGATTTGTAGTGGCGATTGACTCAACGGTATGAAGTAACTTTAGAAGTCGAGTGCCCTCTGAAGGGTTAATAGTCTAGTTGCATTTATTTAGTCTCCTTCTATCCAGCCACTGCAATAATAACATGGCCATCATTTCTCTGTGAGAATTTCTATTTGGCCTTATTTTTTTTTCCAGTTTCTTACTGAATTAAGTTTTAAATGTTGTCAGGTGGTTAGATTGTAAAATACCCTTCATGCTAAACTTGAGGAATTCAATATCCATCTTTGAGGCTTGCCCACAAGACAATTTTTTTAGTTACAAAGTCAGCAGAAGGCAACTTGTCATATTGCCCACAATAATTCCAATTCAAATATTGCATACTGTGTTTCCTCAAAATAATAATACATGTTGGCTGGGGGATAATAATATTTAATATTTTTTTCACCCAAAAAGGTGGCAATTATTTCAAAATATTGCTCACTGGAAGACGTGCCCCAAGACAGGGCTATCATTAATTAAGAGCCAGAGGCTGGGGATTTCCCCAGCTGCACAGAAATGATTTCGACTTTCACTTTCACGGAGGCAACGCGCAAGAAAACAAGATTCATTTGGCCTCTGATTGGCTCATGCTAGAAGTAAGCCATTCAAAATGGCGAAAAATTTAGGATCAAAACCAACCAATCGAAATATAGGACCTGATGAGGTCTACATGCCCAGTTCTTTGTAAGAGGAGCGGTTTCTGATTGGCTGAAAGTTCTTAGGTGGCCTTGGTTGAAGTCGTCACACTGTAATTTGATTGACAGGAGAATTTGCATTTACTAGCGATACATTTCAATAGGCAGGATTGGCATCCCTGCTATAAACTATTTTTTTTTCATTACCCTATTGAATCAAAAAATGATTAAATAAAAAAAAAAGTGAGCATGAGCCTTTTATTATTACTTTTCAAGTTCAATATCCTCGGTGTTAGAGCTTGAATCATCACTGATCAGTTTTACTGGATCAGACTCCAGTTCCACTTAACAAAGAGGGCGGGGGGATAAAAGAAAGAGAAGAAGGCAAGAGGTTTTGGGCGGGGGTGATTATTTTAGATATTTTGTCAAGGGCGGGGATTATTTAAGGAAGGTGATTACTCGAGGGATGGCTATTATTCGAGGAAATATGGTATTATTGGCATAAAAATGTGCTTTTGACATCATGGTTCAGTCCACGCAAATAAACACTTCCTGAAATCACTGTTGAGTATCAGTGGATTTGACAATGGATGGGGATGATCTGTATCTTAGTACAAAAGCAGTTCAAATCAGTTACAATCCTTGTTTATTGCTGATGCATGGAAAAAAATTGATGGCTTTGATCATTGGTATGTTCCTTTGTCACAAGTAAAGTTGTAGTCTGACTCAATGGATCAATCACTGACTCTTTGTTTATGTATGTATGTTTACATTTGATTATCAGGGGACATGTTGAGAGCTGTTGTTGCTTCTGGCTCTGCTTTGGGTAAAAAAGTTAAACAAGTTATGGATTCAGGCCAGGTAAATTAAATCAGAGTGCAAGTTAAAATTGAACATGGAATATGAAGAAATACTTGGTGTACACATATAAAGGGGGCAGTTGTTTGATATTTTTTTCTTGCTGCTGCAATTATTATCAGAGCAACTCAATGTTTTCTACACTGTTTTTCCATAAAAGTTATGACATGAATTTTTTTCTTTCTTCCTTTCTTGTGTAATATCCATACTGTTTAGGCAAAAATAGGATAATTAAATTTAGCAAACAGCACAGTGCTTAACTTTGTCAGTCTTTTTGTGTTAACAATTCAGCTGGTGAGTGATGCACTTGTGGTTGAGCTTATTGATGACAACCTTAACAAACCTGAATGTGCCAATGGGTTTCTCCTGGATGGCTTTCCAAGGACTGTGGTTCAAGCAGAAAAGGTACAAAAAAATATGAGGGAGCAGTAGCAAAGACTAGTGCCATTAGAGTCAGGGATGGATACAGAAAATTCACAACAAAGCACTGGGAAACTTGCCAGCTATTTAACTGCTATAATTTATTGGTTAAAGAACTCTGAGATCATCTTTTTATGGCTCTAGACAAACGCATTTATTGTGAATTCTTTAAACTTTTAACACAAAATATAAGACAAAAGGTTGGGGGAGGGATCAGCCTTCTCAACTCCCCCTAAAGCCACCCATGCTGGGTGGCAACTATCAGGCTCTCTAGTGTGGGGTCAGTTTGTGTAAGTGGTGAAGCTGAAAGACAGAAAGCTGCTTCCAGTTGACTTTTTACATGAAGCTGCTTTAAAAGCATTGTGAGATTTGTTCTAACACAGGCTGCTCAATCACGTTCAAAACAGCAGCCATTATTTCAGGCTATATTATGACACACCATCTGTCTGCATATCACTGACTGCCTTTTTCTCTTTTTCTTTGATGAGGAACTTCTTAGATGTCTGTATGGCCAGTAAACTGTGGCTAGTTTTCTCCTATTGTTGTTAAAAGGTTCATGTTTGTTGTTTATGTTTAACAATCAAATTTTCCATTATGTCTTCCCATATTGACAGCTTGATGAGCTTCTGGACAAAAGGAAATCAAACTTGGATGCAGTTGTAGAGTTTGGAATTGATGATTCCCTTCTAGTACGCCGAATTACTGGCAGGTAAGTCACATGCTACAGTGTTATTATAGTCAACTTTATCATAATGGAGACTTCTGTATGACAGACACCTCCCTTATAATAGACACACAGAGTTGGTCCTTGTTGCTCCTAAGAGATGCCCTTTTTTGTGTGTCAGTATATTTTTCACATGCGAAGTTTCAGCTTGTGAGCTGCAACCTTTCTCTTGCCACGTTTTGGCAAATAACAAAATCTCACGAACTTCCAAAACTGTGTTCGGCCACCTTAAACATGTTTAAAAACTGTTTAGTTGAACATGGTTTGAATTTTCTTTCCTCCATCAGAGCTTCTAACTAACTTTTAAAAATTGATTGCAAGTTTAGTGCAAATTACAAAACATGCAGAATTTTATTTGAATCCTGTGTGAAACCCTGTGTTCTAGTTCCATGTTTGTTTGTCATTTTTTAAGACCTGGGTTAAACATGTCATGTTTAGTTGGTGTGAATGGGGCATTATTATTAGTAATTATTACAGTGATGAACACTTTAAAACATATAGCAATGATATTATTTTCATAATATTATTATTTTGGGGGGGGAGGGAGGGAGGGGGGCAGGTTGGTGTGAACAGAGGTAGTGATCAATGTATTTTTTGCATAGCTAGTCTATGCATGTGAGTTTACATGTTTATCAAGTTTTCGCTGTTCATCTTTAAGGCTGCTTCACAAACCAAGTGGAAGAACTTATCACACAGAATTCAATCCGCCTAAAAAGCCTATGACTGATGATGTAAGTGATTGGGTTATTTCTATGTTGACCTTAGCTTAGTATCTTCTGTGAAACTATCTTACTCTGACAAGGGGGAAATTATTTCAATACCTTGGGGAATAGTAATGTTTTTAAACTACACCTATACTGTTTTTAATGTAAAAATGATTTTTTTAGTCATTTACACATCACATTTACATTGCTGTCAAATCTTTAATTTCAAAGTGAATACTGTAAATATCTTCCAGTGGTAGCCTTATTTGAGACTTCCTCTTCAAGTATATATAATGAACAGCACCCAAAGTAACCGGTTTTACTACAAGGAGCCCAAAAGAGTGACCTCCTTTAATTAACTCACGTCCTTTCATGCAGGCATTAACCAGTCATAAGTCGAGGACAGTTTTCAGCTGGCTTCTGATTGGATTACACCTGTACGAAAGAATGTGAATAAATCAAAAGTGGTCACACTTTTGGGCTCCTTGCTGTAATTGGCTCTAAGGTGTTCAGCAGATGGCGGGGAGCGAGTTAAATTGTACGCGGGAAAAACGAGGGGAGACTGGGGCATTATTTACCCTCTTCAATTTTTCGCCTGCACTTTACTATCTTAACACCGAGAACAGGCTTAATCTGAAGTAACAGATTTCTCAGTCAGGGCCAGTAAACTAATAGATAACCTAACTGGTAGCTGTAAGTGGTTTTTCTGGTAAATTGTGTGTGTCTTGTGAGTGTTGTAGGGGAGGGGGACTGGGAGTGGGGATAGAGAGGGTTAGAGCACTAATCTTATTTTTCTATTTTCATTATTGATTCCAGGTCACTGGTGAACCTCTAATTCGTCGGTCAGATGATAACGAGGCAACGTTGAAGAAACGTTTAGAAGCTTATCACAAGCAGACTGCACCGCTGGTTGACTATTACAAAAAGCGCGGGCTCCATTCACGCATTGATGCTGCTGAATCCCCGGATGTTGTTTTCAAGGATGTTTTAAGGGAGTTTGAGAAAGCCAAGGAACGCGCGAGGAAGTTCTTTCAATAAATAATTTTCTTGAATTAATTAGTATCAATTGAGTAGAACCGAGTAACAAGTTCCTCGTTCCTTCCCTAGAATTAACATTCACCAATTGTTACAATATGCTTATTCCAATAATAAAAAAAATTGTCTCCGTATTACCGACTGTCTCTGTGTTGCATATAGTTTGGATTTTTAGGTTTGGACTTAAGGTTATATGATATGGCTAATCCTCTTGTCTTCATTCAGTGCGGCTTGCTGCGGTGAAAACGAAGTATGTTTTGCTTTAAACGGCCGAGAAATATTGAACTAAACATTCCCGACATTTCGGTGTTCCCTGGCTTTCCACAATGTCAATTTCCCAGTTTCCGTTTTTTTGTGGACGGAAAGACGTCGAATACAGTGGAAACTGACAGAACTGCTAAGTGGCCTGAAAGGTTTTTAAAAAGTTTTTTACAAAAGTTGACGTTGGGTCAACAGTGGAGCTACGCTGTTTTCGGGAAGTCATATTCGTTTACAGATAACCCGGGGTTCCGGTTTTTATACCGTAATCGACGTTATATATTCAAATATGAGTGACTACTGAATAAACCTAAAATTTTACGGTGGGCGCTAGCTACGTCTGCCGGAAATTACTTGGGAACTCTGGCTAGAATATATATAAATACCTGTAAACACTATATGGTTTAACTTCTTTAACTAGGCCAATAAGAGTAATGTTTTTTTTGAACGAATCAACACATTGTAACTTTTCAGCCCGTGAAGTTCAATACATATTCTACAAGTTCATGGTAGAGAAGCGTCTCCTTTCTCTGATTCGCTTTAATATTTTGACCAAAGGCATTTTTTTCCTTAATAATTGCATCTTTTCTTTGGGCGAGTTACCCATGGTTCCGGTTTTTGTAAAGGGACATTCACTAATTCACGAAGTATTTACAACAGATTATTTAGCGGTTTCCTTAATAATTAAAGTACAGGAGAGGTGGTAAAAAACCTGTGTTTTTACTCGGCTTATTGACGTAGACTCAGTAGAAAGTGCTCACAAAACATTCCGCCCCTGTTGAGAAATAAGTATACTTACCAAGGTTGGTTCGACACTCCCTAATAATCTCTTTTATCTCTTGTGCCTGATGACATATCTATCAAAGTCTGACCCGCCACCGCACAGTAAACAAAAGAATTTACTTTGCATATAAATCAAGACAAAGAAAACTTTCGAAATAATTTGTTAAGTCCTTGGCGAGGCGGCTGCGGAAACCTCATCTCGCTCTTTCAATTTGTATTCAATTTCAAATATTTCATACAAAGCGCCATAAATGGGATACTTATCTTAATTATCTTACAAAATTTCTTTGGCTGACTTTTATTTACAGAACAGTAGACAGAAATTGTAATTGCGAAATTTTTTTCAGATTTCAAAATAACAAAAAAAGCTACGACTGACGATTTCTACCTGGTTTGAACCTTAAAGGTTAAACAAATAGCGAAACTTCCGGTTATCTCAAATTGAACGATGTGTTGATGTATTGACACTGAAATTTAACATTAACCACTCAATTTGCGAAGAGTTTGACTACATCAACTTTTACATTTTCTATTCTAATCAAACACTTCATTGAGGAAATACAATAGGGCTTTTATAAAGTATTGTGCAAGCACTAGAAAATAAAAGAACGTTCAGCATCATCTTGCTTATAGATATTCGTTTAAATCACGTCCAGACTGATGTAACTATTTCTCCCTTTACAATCCCAATGTGAAAGTGCCTTTTGCTTTCTTTTCGACAATGGTGTGGCCTTAAATTCTCGCAGAACTATGCGATCTAAGTCTGTAGCACTATTGCTGAGGCTAACAGCCTTGTCGCTAGCTGTTGGTGTCGGTTTCAATCTCGCGGCAGCTACAGCATCTAGTGACCTTGACCGCGATAGACCGCTCTCCTTCGTCATATACCATTCGTCAAGTTTAGCTCCGTCGTGTTGGTCGATAACGAAAGAAGTAACAGCCGTCAAGATAGCTGCCATCCATGAGTTTCTTTCTTCTTCAGAGAAGCAGCACAGGCAAAATGTTTTACCATCAGCATGAATTTTCAAGAGAAACTTGCGTCTCTTGCTGTCTCCGACCTCATCAACTTGCATTGAGATGTCTTTGAAAGGAATAACGCCGAGTGCTGGCAGACCGCTACAATGACTTTTCTTCTTGTAGTAGAACAAGCCAGTTGTTTTAAGAATGAAGAATCGAGCTTTCCATAGCTTCCATACGCTTCTGCTTTGTTTGAATAGATACCCCTCTCTTAGCGTCGCTTCTCTGGTCGTTAAAATTGCCATGGTTCACTTAACCTTCACTGTATCAAGTACATGTATCTTCGGAAACAATATTTCTGGTGCTCTTAAGCAAAAAGGACGCTGATCTGAAATCTTTTGTTACAATGAGTATTTTATACCCTTAAAAAGTCCACCTTTGTTAGCTGAAGGAAACTGTTGTCAGTCAAGGTTAAAAGCTTTGTTAGGTCGAAAGGCTATATTACAAACTATAAATGGCATTTTCTTACAGTATTGTTACGTCATTAGTAAGGATCACACATCCGGTTGCATCTGGTCCGACATTCATGTGACTCATCTACCTTTCGTAACCCTTTCTAGGTTAAAAAAGAATAACAAACTCTCGAACTGTAAAAAAAAAAAAAAACCGTAAATGGAAGTCAGTGAAGGAGAAGTGTTTCTGTGAGGCCAAATTTAAATAAAATATGAGTGCCATCGGACCGGTGTTTAATAGGGGACGTCAAGCTTCACCTATTTTTGTTCAACTCATTTTCAATTGTTCATGTAATAACTCACGACGACAACGGACATTTGCCTCGGGTTTTACTGGAACCTGACAAAAGACCTGACTGTCCTTTATTTTCTACAAAATCCGTTTTCAAGGCCTTTTTTAAAATAGCATTGTTCCACTCTTTCGTCAGACAATGTGATCGAAATATGCGTTCATGGGTTTTCTTAGCAGCAGGACGCTTAAAACTAGTGTTATCATTCCCAGGCTAGACTGTTCACAGTCCCCTATTTTTTCGTGAGATCGTTTAGATATACCGCGTCTTACCGTCACGAGTATCTTGATTTTCAATGTGCCGAGGGGGCGGGCGTCGGGGATTATAGCTCTGGGGGCGGGGGAGGGGGAAAGGCGAGAAAAATAGATTTTTCTCGCTCCCTCCCAAACCACCGTCCCCGCCAAGTAGTTTTGACACTCACGCAAGATGGCAGCCCGTAACACAAAGCGCTCTATCTCGATGATCTTACGGAAAAATAGAGGACTGTGAACAGTCTATTCCCAGGCATACTTCGTTAAAGCGTTTACTGTAAAAGCTCATGTGCCATCCATTGTAAATGACCTATGATTCCAATTTTTGTAGACTGCGAGCAGTCTCTCGGGCGGCAGGCCGAGAGGAAAAAAGAGAGTCTCTCCCGTCTGGCGCCTTCATTAGGGAGCTTAAGCAACAACGTTTTTGAGCGACGCAAGTCAACCGGAAGTGGCCTTTTTTCATTTTTTGACGGTGGTTTCGCGCAAATTTTCAGTCAAATCGCCTCTATAACAGTAAAGAAGCTAAGGAATATAAATTTTATATCATCAAGGCATGTTAAGAGGGAAAATACCTCACTTCCGGTTGACGTGCGTCGCTCAAAAACGTTGCTGCTTAAGCTCGCTAATAACCCGCGCGCGCGCGGGGGTTTTCAGAAAAGTGTGGTGTATGAAAACCGTACCCCCCTAAAATAATTTCATATGAAAATTGTACCCCCTCTTAGCGATAAGAGTTTTTAAAATGCACCCCCCCACCTTTCCTAGACCAAGTTTTAAGATGACTCGACTTTCTCTCTTTCTTTGGACATCGACTTCATATTAAAGCTAGATGGGGTAGTCTGGTTAGGTAAAAATAGTTGATAGGGTCCTGGGACAAGCTTGGTTACATAGCATTCAATATGGCGGCTACCAAATCAAGTAAAGATGCACGTCAGGTGGGGCTCAGCTGGCATGAGAAACGGTGTGAAGTCCGATGAAGGGTTAGGGTTAGGGTTAGGGTCATTTTAGGGTTTCAATTATATGTTTTAACAACTACAACATATAATGTCAATCCTGTGTCTTAAAATTTCGACCCCCCTCACACTTTTTACATTTTCAAAACTGACCCCCCAAAATTAAACCTTTTCAAAAATTGTACCCCCCCTAGGACGTAATAAGCGATCGGTCCCTAATAAATAAATAAAATATTGAAAGTAACCGCCTTTCCCAACCTCGTTCCCAGGGGTCTCTCTCTCTCACTCCGTAGGGCGGGTAGGAGAGAACCCTAGGAACGAGGTTGGCCTTTTCCTTGTTGTTTCACGGTGTGTAGCGTCAATTTTCGTCATTTTAGGTTTTTGGAAAGATAAAAATAAAAGATAACAACAGATTGATGGTCTATTCCCGAAGGAGAAGGGGAGGGGGGGCATGCACTAAACAAAGATTTTATGGGGAGGTTCCGCCCCCAGCAGGATCTAACCCCTTACGAATTTAATTTTTAACCATTTTTGACAGAAAAGGTACCCCGTCCTATACTTTAAATTGACAAATGGTATCCCTTCCACATATAACGTTTAGGGCGTTACACCCCTTCAGGAGCCAATGACATAGTCATGGGCTCCTGCTGAAATGGCAGTTATATACCTGAAGGACCTGAAGCCTGAAAAAGGAACCCCTTTCGGGTGGAGTCCCCAATATAGGCCAATGTAGGGAGTACCTACCCAGGACGCGGGCTCGAAACTAAAAAGCTACAAATGTCTTGTTTGCCTTGTTTCTTACACCAACTTCCCCAAGTTGGTTATTCACCAGAAAGACCACATGTCAGGAATTTTTCCAATCGCAGTAACTAAGTTCACCTGTCAGGTCTATCAGATCAAGAATCCAAGGATGAAATTTGCGTTTTGCAGAAATATATATATCACCATATTTGCGTTCCACAAAACTCGCGGCTCGGGGGTTCGCCTTCATTTCATAGATTTATCAGAAAGAAAATTACTTCACTTGAGCTTAAGCTTTAGGGAAAATAATGGCAAAAAGGGCTATCCAGAAAGTTTATAGTGACTGGCAGTATACCAGGAACCGGGTAAAGGGCTCCTAAATACACTAGCGATGCTCCTTTAATACAATACAGGCCCGTAGCAATATTATTCCTGTTGTAAGAGTGGGGAGGGGTTGGCCTGAAAACGTCAGTGCGTGATATACGTGACAGTGCTATTGTACTGGCATCTTTTGTCACAGTTTTTACTTAACATTACTGTGTTCTGGTCTTTTTGAAACGATCTATTAAGTTTGGCGGAAAATATTTTAAAAAAATATATTCATTGAAAAACACTCTCTATCAATATGCTAAGGGCAATTATTTTTCCCACAATACTTTGGGCTATCCAGCTTTTGTTTACTAGACAAAACATATGGTGATTATTAAATTCTAACCCTTCTCGTTGCCATTGTTGGAGTAAATACGGCATTTGACAGACAAGAGTCCAACATAAACCAGTATTGAACAGTTTTAAATGATTCTTTATATAATGTCCTCTATACCACTGAGAGAACTAATTAAGAATCCAATACAAATATCAATCACACCTTTTATAATGTGAAAGCATTTGTTGCTATTAGGTACTTCAAAGCCATGACATTACTACCATGGACTACATGAAGGAGAGACCATTAGAAAGCGAAGTGTGAATTGGTTGGATTCTGCTCTGCATGTTTATTATTCCATTTTTTTTTTCCTTAGCTTATATGTATTTTTTTCAGCCTGTTCCAACTTTAGTATTGTTTCAAGTTATTTTCATGTATGGAAAGGCTTTTGTTTTTCCCCCTACCATGTAACCTTTCTCATTGTGTAGGTGGGTGGGGGACGCATGTTCATAAAGTTCATAAGGATCTCTGTTGATAAATATTATGTAACTCTGTAACACCAGGACACAATCAATAAGATCAAGAACCAGAGCTAAAGTTTTCTGTGATACGATTGTTACTGCAATTAAACAATGTCAATCATTAACCTATACATCCATGGTAATTTTCAAGGTCCTAGTTGTTCCAAAAATGGATAAGGCTATCTTCTGGATAAATCTCTATCCTATGCAATTGGGTTCACTAATATAGACATATACGCTAGATTATGGCGTACATTTGTGGACAAAAATAATTGAAAATAAAAGACAATTTGAAGTTCAAAAATTAGACTATCCATTTCGAAATCTCGTCATATGAATTTGAAATCGCAATGAACGCAGTCGAAATAGCATCATTCGAACTTGAAGCTACTTTGAACAAGTTGAAACTATAAAGGGAAAACTCGATATCGCGGATGTGGAAGTTCAAATCACCATTCCAACTAAAATGCAAATTACATGATTTGAACTTCTATTCACCTTCTCCACTCTAAAAAGCCACTTAATCGTCAACAATGCAACCATAATCTTCCACTTAATTCCAAGTGAAACCTTTAATTTGAACTTAAAGTCACGTCACATATTCGAATTCGAAAAACCAAAATTTCAATTCGAAAGGAAGTAGAAGTAAAAATACACAGAAACCGAGTGACGACTAGGTACGAGTCTACGGATGGGAGGCTTGGAACCTGAGCTTTCCTCATCTCTGATGTGATCATGGCTGCTCGATGGCTACCGAACAACGAAGAGTTTTTCGTTGGACTGGTTAGACTTTTTGAGGCATCAGAAACTAATCTAAACTCAGCATCATACGATAATTCTGAATTTTTATTTCGTCAACTTGATGCTCACCATGCACCAGAGAACTTTGTCAACTCTGCTAACAGTGTTGACAAGCCTACACGACTCCTGCAGTTCGCGGATGAATAAATTCTAATAAAGCCTTCATAGCTTAGCTTTAACTAGGATGTCTTTTAGGGATTTTCCCTTACGATATGAGATGATGGGGGCTCCTTAAAGATTTCTCTCAGTTGCGGTTGATTTTCTATAAGGCGCCATTTCCCCATGAGTGTGTCCTTTAGGTTAGGCAATGTCAGATGGTATTGTGTTACAAAGGGCAGTATTTTCTGCGCTAGCGACATTTCTTTATCAGAGAATTTAATCTCTGAAAAGTGTTTTTCTACAAGTCTAACTGAGTAATCTCTACTCTGCAGGTGTGTTTTGAAATTGCTCATCTTTTCCTCAAAAGTAAATTGAGAGTAATTTGTTCTCAGAAACCTTAACGCTTCTCCTTTTATAAAGTTCAAGTTTGCCACTACAGCCCTCAGAATCTGTTGGATTGTCCTAGAGTCACCCTTATCATTCACATTGTCCGCCATATTGACCAGAGAGTTCGAGTGAAGGGAAATCTTTTCGCGCCAAAATGCAGTTATGCAAACATCCCGAATGTACAATGTAGCGAAACTCTTATCATTTCCGGTTGCTGTGTATTTTTACTTCCGCTTCCTTTCCAATTGAAATTTTGGTTCTTCGAATTCGAATATGTGACGTGACTTTAAGTTCAATAATTAAAGGTTTCATTTGGAATTAAGTGGAAGATTATGGTTGCATTGTTGCCGATTAAGTGGCTTTTTAGAGTGGAGAAGGTGAATTGAAGTTCAAATCATGTAAATATTTGCATTTTAGTTGGAATGGTGATTTGAGCTTCAACATCCGCGATGTCGAGTTTTCCCTTTATAGTTTCAATTTGTTCAAAGTAACTTCAAGTACGAATGATGCTATTTCGACTGCGTTCATTGCGATTTCAAATTCATATGACAAGATTTCGACAGGGATAGTCTAATTTTGAACTTCAAATTGCCTTTTATTTCCAATTATTTTTGTCCGCAAATGTACGCCATACTAGATAGTGATTTATTTCAGTAGATTGCGCCATCCATTGTTTGAAAACCAAGGCCAGATCAGTAAAATATTACATTGTTATCTCTGTTAGCTATCTTCTCTGTCAAAACTTATTTATAAGGCTAACAGAATGTAATCAAGTATAATCTTCCATACGTGTACAAGACAAAAAGCCTTTTTAATAAATAATTATAGTAATCTTTTCACATATGACATTAGGGCTGGGTCGTCCAAACCTGGGTTAAGACAACCCAAGGTTATTTCAAAATTGGAATTCACAAATTATAGCTTGAAAGGCAAATCCAATTTTATTTGTTTTGCCTATAATTTGATAAGTGGATACTTTAAAAGGAACAAAAAAATGAATCCCTGTTTAAAATAATTTAACCCCAGTTTAGCACTATATTCAGCCTTTGAACAACTGAGCTAAAAGAGTAAGCAATTATGTCATCAGTTAATAGGGATCTAAAATACAGATTCTTCCTTTTTTCCACCAGCAAAAGTAAAATAAAACAAAACTGAATGCAAGGCTGGCACTACGGCAAAGGGCTGATTTATTATAGGCTAATATTTCAGCTAAGAAAATTAGCCTTCCTCAGGACCGCAGCTACAGTGTATACCAAGAGAAAATATCTTTTAACAGCTCCTAAAATTTAAATTTAAAATAAGTTCCTTGTCGGTGATCAAGTGGCCAGGTTGATTAAAGTGGGAAGGGACCGCTACTGTGGCCAAACTAGAGCAAAACAGGTACCTTGAAATGAAGCCTTAAAAGAGAATAAACCAGCCACCAGAGATACAAGTGACTGAATCCCCCTTACAGTTACCTATAATCCAGCTCTATCTAACATCCATGACGTACTTTGCAAGAAACAACCCATTCTACAATCCACCGAATGCTTAGGAAACATCTTTAAAGAAGTACCTGTCATCGCTTTCTGCCGTTCACCAAACCTTCCTGACCTACTCATTCGTGTGAAATTTGCAAACAATGACAACACACCTAAAAACACAGGAGAACCAGGACAAATTAAACATTACATTACTTGTGACTCAAACAACTTAACATAATTTATATAATAATAGGTGAAACTAAACGCACACTTTGTGAAGACTTCAAAGATCAGCCCTATGCCGTTGTGTCAGCCTTACATTTAGTTTTGTTTCAGATCCGGCAAGAGAAACCAGTCAGTTACCGTGTTTTTTCACTTATAAGGTGCAGCATTTTTTCAAAGAAAGTCTGCTTGATAGCTCTAAATCTGTTGTAATTTCGGGTTGCGTCTTATAACCGAGTATCTTCGGGCAACAACACAAAATTGAGTCAAATCCTTGACTCTAAAAGCTCTAGCTGCTCATCCTCTACTTTGTTACCGGTTTTCAATGACTTCTACATCTTCTAAAGCTGGTAATCAAATGGTTTTGCATTCGAAACAAATCACCGACATCGATTGTTTTGAACTGAATATTAATACTTGGTAACAAGGCAAATTTTTGAGCATGTGCTTGACCCAAGATGGTGGATTATTTACAGTCATTTCCACACTGCGACCTTGCGCTTGTTTCAGACCTTTATTTTCCGCAGAAAGCTCCCAAATCTGTTAATAGAACTGTGAAAGCTCTTTTATCACAGTTATTTAGATAAACAAGGGCTTATTTTACCAGATTTGGCAGTTAATTAACAAAATATTCAGGCTCATGTATTACGCAACTGATTTTATCTTGATACTACCGATGAATGCACTGATGTCAATATGCCGCAACCAAGACAACTGACTTGTTTATGGAACAAAACGGAGTCCTTGAGTATTCACAGCCTTAGAAAACAATGCTTGTGTTGATAGGTGTGATTTTTTCGCTTTTGATCGATTATGTAACCTTTTTTGCTTTTGTTCACGTAGATGAATGGCCGTAATCAGCGTCATTGGAAAGCATGTTGTTGTAGTTAAGGTGAACATTGCTGAAAATTGCGGTTGCGCCTTATAGCTGGGTATTTTGCCTTAATTTTCAGTTTGTCAACTTAGAAAAATCGTGAAAATTTTGGGGGTGCGTCTTATAACCCAGTGCGTCTTATAACCGAAAAAATACGGTATATTTACGTGTTGCTTCTGGACCTCTGCATTCAAACAATTTTTCCTATTTTTTAAAGTAAAATAGCTTTTAGATTAGCATCATATTTTTAACATCATCATCATCATAATAATGATAAGTAACTATCCCCTATATCATCGAGGGACAGAGGAGCACCAGGACAGGGTCCTCAATTGAACCAGTAACACCTGTCATGAGTGTCACAGGTAAGGATTACGGCTTTCAAAGGGAAGGGCTTTGACCAGTAGATCAATTCATGGAGCATGCCAGGTGTTACACCTCTAAGCAGCACAGCAATGGCTGTACAAAATTCTATTAAAAACCCTGCCAAGACCATCCATGATGAAGCCCACCATGGGATTACTGAAACTGCCTAAGGAACAAAAGTCTACATACATGTAGATGTAGGGGTGTTAAGAACTTTGGAATATTTCAAATCAATAATAAAACAATAATCTGCTACAGTCATCTTTCATTAGTTTGGACACTCTCAAGAATCCAAGTTACATGTTTCTTCAGTTTGTTATTCATTTTTGTTGGGGATTTAGCTGATGTCAATAGCTGTGGTCACACTACAGACTTTTTACCGAGGTAAACACGACTTGTTGACAGTTTACCTAGGGAAACTTGATTTTTTAAGTGTGACCAATTTTTCCCTAGGTAACTTACCTCGGGGAAATTTTATCGTCTGGATCTTGGATATGTCTTGAAAACAATACAGGGTTCATACAAAAAATTGCAACCATTTTTCAAGGACTTTTCAAGGACTTTCCAAGGACCACATTAGATTTTCAAGGACAACCTACTAGGAATATAATTTCACAGATTGTACAAAAATGCATATTCCCAGTATATTCTAATAAGACTTTAAGGCTTTAACTGTTTGCTTCACCAAATTCTCTACATTTTTCAGTTCACTTGTCTTAAACTGATAGTTAATTATTGCATAAAACATGGAGCACTTTATGTAAATGACCTTTACATTCACTGAGCTACGATTTATATTCTGTCTTGGACAACCAAAAAGCATCAAAAAATTCTTTCCAGGCTACTGCATTCAAAGTTGAAGAAAATTCAAGCTCTTTTCAAGGACTTGCACAGAAATTTAAGGACTTTTCAAGGAAAAATGGAATTCAAGGACTTTTCAAGGACTTCCCCTAAAATTCAAGGACTTTTCAAGACTGTGCGAACCCTGCAATAGAGTTTACCTTGACAGCTACCCCAAAGCAATGGCTAGGGAAAAATGAAATAGCGAGGTTGCTAGCCAATAGACGCTCATGGGCGAAGGTCTTGATGACAGAACCGGACATAGGTCACGCTGTGAAAGAAATTTTGTGCGCACGAATCGTCTACATTTTCGCCTTTCTTTACCTTGAACGTTGAATTAGCGTAAGAAATAACAGCGAGAAAAAAGAAAAAAAACATCTCTTTGATCAGCTAGATCCCTGCGCATATTTTTGCCGTCTTGAATTTACGCTCCAAAAAATTCAACTGGCGTGAAAACTTTGGGAGCCGATATAAGTAGTGTGACCTTCCCAGAATTTTTACCTAGGTAAAACAAAACCCAAGATGAATTTACCTCGGGAGATTTTTGATGATTTTGCCCTAGGTAAATCGGTTTTACCTAGGTAAAAGTCTGTAGTGTGACCACAGCTAATATCATTGGTGAATGTCCACAAGATGAGAGTTGACTGTATGGAATCTGGCTTTTCTTACGATATGATATTCTGATATAAAGAATTATGCAGGTCAAACAAGGTGTTATCTGTGTTAACCTGTGGTGCGCCAGTGAATGAAAACCTTTCTTGATCTGAATAATTCTTCACAATAAACTCAGCCTCATTCATCCAAAAGGTGATGGTACTCCCCTGTCCACCTGCTGGTGTTAGTTGACACTTAAGTTACTCGACTGGCTTTCATGTATTTGTAAAACAAAAATATAGAGTAACAACATGCAACATGACCGCCTTGTCACGTTGTAAGTTGCAAACGAAGAATGGCTGTTATCACCCTTAATAAAGGGACTCAAAAGTTCCTTTAAGCTGTTTGAGTAGAACTGAAACTGGACCGAGTCCTGGGCAGATATCATTGGCCTTACCAGGGCAGCTGTGATGAGTGTTGTCTAACTTCAGCGCCAGAAGATACGCTTCCACATCGTCCTGCGTGTTCAACTCACGACCAGAGGAGAAATTCTTGTGCGAAGCATGTTTCAACAAATTCTTGACAATGGCATCCACATTCTCGATTCCCTTTGCTTTGATTTCTTTTAAGGTTTCCTTTGACGGTAAGCTGACGCGAGCATGGTCCATTCTGGAGACGATTGATTCCAAAATGTTCGTGTAATTTTCTTCCTCAATTGAATCATACAGCTCGTGTTCTTGTAGTTCTTTCAAGTTGTATCGAGAAGCATATTTCACACAAACACTTTCCAGCTCCTTTAACTCGTACTTCTGTGCCAAAATGAGCAAGGAAATGGGATCCTGATGATTGCTGCTTTTTTGTAACGTATCAAAATTTAGCTCATCTACCAGAAAGCATTCACACTTCTCAACAATAGATGCGATCTGATACTCCGTTGCCAGTTCCAAGATCTCCCTGTAATTTTCAGATGTAACCTCATCGTTTCCAGGCGGGTACATCATTATCAGCAAAGTTTTAACACTGTCTGCGTTTTTTCCCGCAAGCCAAATTTCAGATTTGCTCTTCTCCCTGGAAGCTGCGTTCAACATTTTCTCGAACACCGGCGACCACAACACGAGCACGTTTCGATGCACATGAAATCTTTCATCCTCTACCAGCAGGACAACATCGCTCATCTTCCACGGCTTTGAAAAATCTAATTTAGCTGCTGGCTCTTCGGTTCGAGCACGTTTAACTGAAGCCATTCTTTGACAGAGGGCTTTGCTTTCTTCTCCTCGAAATGGTTTGCTTGTCAGGGACGTCGGACGTCTGTTTCAGCGATCTTCCCGCCGTTTTCAGCGAAGGGCGCGGGTTCTCTTGGGATAGCAAGGGGGTATCCACTTAATTTCAACTGCTGACCCCCCGCCTCCCCCACCGAAAAAAAAATACAGTAAAAATAAACAAACAAACAAATACAAAAAAATATACAAGACCAAGACAAAAACAACAACAACAACAAAATATTAATACTAGGACCTTTGGCTGAGGAGTAAAACGTGTCATGAAATATCATCTACTACTTTATTTTTCTTCTACAACCTGAAAGGCTGGAACATACTTGTTAAAAAAGCTAATCGATTTGTAGATATTCTAAATCACGGCTGAGTGAAACAGACTGTGGTTGCAGCCTCAGTCAAGTTAGTCTTTGCGGCCACATTCTTATTTTCGAGCATTTTTAACTCCCACCAAATTAATTTTCTAGCCAAAACTATATCGTGGCCAACACTTTAACGTCAATTTTGAAAGCTTTTTAAACAGCGACAAATAAACGATCTTTTTTAATTTTGAAGTAACTTTCAGTGACTGTTATTGAAACACATGTACAGTGAAAATTTTTATCCGGTGATTTTTGAGAACTCTCAGTATCGGTTTGTGATCTTTAAAACTGGGTTCTTGGTTCTATTTTGGCTCAGTAGCACTAGATCCGGGTATCAATAGTTAAGAAAGAAAATAACATCCACCTTTTAATAAGCACAGCTGTGTTGTTTAGTCATTAATTTAAAAAAGCGACCGATATCCTTTTCAGTACATGAACAGTAAGTAGGATCAATAGTAATATTATCATAATAAATGTCTTGTCTTGTCATAGCAACCGATTCCTGCTGATTTATCTAGCTCAGCATTACGTGCGTATCTCTGATTGCGTATTGAAATGCTACGGAATATTGTCGGTAATGTTTCATTTATTTATATGAAATGAAGCTATGATCGAGCGTTACAAGTGTTAATTGAGTAACACAGAAAAAAAAAAAATGAACAATAGCAGTTTTATTAAAGTCTGTCTCATCAGTCTATAGCCGTACTACCCGAAGACAAGCCTTCTCCTTAATCATAGTTAGTAGACTGGACCCTAACTAGACTTAAATCAAAGTAGAAAAAAACTTTTGTAAATCGAGCACAGAGCTCGACTCAGTGATAGTGTCAACGGGGCACATTTACCAGGAAGAAGCCACGTTGACACCACTGCACAAGACTCATTTGCATAAGAATAAAGTAACTAATTAAAAAGGAGTCTCGGGTTTTAAGAAGTAAAAAGATCAATGGCTGCAAGTCGGATTGTACTTATCTCAGGCTGTTCCACTGGTATCGGGCTGTTTACAGCGTTGCTGTTAGCAAGCGATCCAGAGAAACGCTTTAAGGTTTACGCCACAATGAGAAACCTTGAGAAGAAGAGCGAGTTAGAAGAACGAGGCAGGGAATGCCTTGATGATTCTCTGATCATCAAGCAAATGGATGTCAGCTTCGCTGATTCGGTTAAAAGTTTAGTTGATGAAGTGCTCGCCAAAGAAGGAAAAATTGATGTTCTGAGTGAGTATTCGCTTGATCTTACGCTTTGGACCACTAATCCGGTCAAAGCATTATAAAAATAGTGAATAAAGTAGAGGTCGATTGTACTGTAATTTGATGAGATTTGCCATAGAAAAAATATTTATAATGATTTTTCGGCGACTCGGCCTTATAGCCTCGTATAGGGACGGAAGACTGCTCACTCTATTGTTCTTAAGCTGGAGGTCTGATTTCTTAGACAATTAAGTACCTTAAAAACACGGTATTATGCTACTAATCCATAATAACTTGTGACATGTTATAGCCCACTAGAAGCAAAAAGCAATGACGGCTGAATCGCGTTTGCTAGCTACAGTTGTTTTGTCTCGATATTTTTGACCAACTAGTAGGATATTACTAAAACAATTATTACTCTCGCCCTCATGGCCTGTGAGTCATAAGCCCATTCGGCCTTGGGCCTCATGGGCTATTGACTCAGAGCCCATTCGGGCTCGAGGAATAATTGTGAAATATATACCCCCGGTATCCATCAAAACAAAGCTCATCTTTAATTTTTGTTTTAACTAGTTAACAACGCAGGGGTTGGATGTGTGACCGTATTGGAATGCATGGCCATGGATCAGATCAAACAAATGTTCGATGTGAATTTTTTTGGAGCTGTTGCGTTGATCCAGGCCGTTCTCCCCAGCATGAAAGAGAGGCAGGAAGGTTACATTGTGAACGTAAGCAGTGTATTCGGGGTAACAGGAGGTCCATTTAACGATGTGTATACAGCGTCAAAGTTCGCTCTGGGAGGCATAACTGAATCTCTCGCCCCGGTATTAAAACAGTTCAATATAAAGTGAGTGCAACAGTGAAGTCTTAAAAGCTTTACATTAGCTTCCACCTACTAATCAGCCCCACCCACTGTTTGCGATGCGAGCTACAATGTAGTCACTCGTAAGTTTTCTTATAGCTGATCATAGGTGAAAGGTAGAGTGATGAAGCCTTTCCCCATTTGTATCCGTAGTAAAGGAAGAGAAAAGTTGTTTCTTCACCTTTGTTTCATTCAAGCTGTTCACACACCTTCCATTTTCTCTTTATACGAGCGTTGAGTGTTCATATGAAAATAGAAACCGCGGGGCCTGTAACGGCACCCGCGTGCCCAAATTTTGTTTCGTAGTAGATTTAGCTATTCTCTTTTAGTAACCGCATTTTACGTCACAATGATTTTCCTCTTGCCGTCACGTGACTTAAGCTTAAATATCGTAACACCTGCGTAGTTTTTTGTAAGGCTCACAGATAATCGACAGGTAACCATGTCAAGAAACGTCTTATTGCTATTGAACTCAGAACCTACTAGAGCGCAAGGGGTGGGAAGGCGCAAAAAATAGGTTTTCTTGATTTTTCTCGCGCGCACACATTCTTGTAAGCCTAGAGAAGAGCATGGTCTAGCCCCCGGGGGGGCGGGGCACTTGGGTATTTTTTGGGTGGGTATGTGCCGCCCAGGACTCCAAATTGGCACTCCGTTCTAAAAAGAAATTCCCTTAAAATTGATACCCCATTCTAGAAATGGACCAATTTTTTATACCCCGTTCTAGAATTCGCCCTAAAACTGATACCCCGGCTAGAAATGGGCCAATTTTTTATACTCCATTCTAGGGTGCAACAAAAATATAACAGTTGGCTTGTTAACGCATGGAACCGTATTTTTAAAAGCAATCTGTCCTTGAAATGAATTTCAAATGGCTGCTTACAAAACTGGAGCTTTCGTGCATTCGAAATATTATACCGTTCTAGAAAACGCCTCTAAAAAGGAAACCCCGTTCTAAACCAGGAGCTTAAAAATCACGACCCCGTTGGGCGGCACATACCCGTATAGGTGATGTATGGGAGTACCTCCCCCCTCCCGGGATCTAGCTTTCCCTGTGAGCAGTGGTTTCTCCAGGCCGAACGCTACGCTACAAGCGCAGGGTCCGGCCTGGAGAAAACACTGCTCGCACGGTAGTCTAGCTAAGTTGGTCAGAGTAATGTATAGTTGATTTAAGCTAAAATAACTTCAGTTTAATTGTAATCTTATAGGATTTCACTGGTCGAGCCAGGACCTGTCATGACTTCTTTTATAAGTAACTTAAAAGATATGGCGGGGAAAGTTGACCTCTCTACCGCTGACCACAAATCTGTCCAACTCATGCAGTCTGTCATTTCCCGGATGGTTGATTTAACAGCTAACGTGGGGCAGGAATCACAGGAGATAGCTAAAACTATCAAAGAAATTGTGACGTCAAAGGAACCTCAGTTACGATATCTGACCAACAAATATTATGGGCTTGATGAAGCAAGATCTAAATTGTGTGACCTTACTGGCGATAAGCTTGTGGAGGTGCTGGAGAAACGTTTCTTTAACAGTTAACCGAGACTGAGAAGCCTTCTTTTGGCTACTGTGTGTAAGTGGATAATAAACATGTAAAGTGAAATGAAATAAAGATGCAGTTTAAAAAATATTCCTGGTAGTACTTTTTTGCCAAAAAAATATATACGTGAAGGGTTTTTGCTATTAGCAAGTGACCCACATAGTGACCCTTTCAGTACTTGTCCCTTTTACCATCGCTCTTTTTTAAGGCGTCTTTGATTTTTTATGCTTCATATTTGACTTGTCCCTTTTCACTTAACTTATTAACTCTTGTCATGGAGACAGCATTACAGAAAATGTCGAAAAATGAAATCACGTCCATTCATGATCAGTCTTTTAGCTGATTATTCCAACTCGATTACTTTGTCAAATGTAGGTGAACTCTCCTGAAGTTGAATTCCTAAGAAACATATCAAAGTTCAGAAAGAGTTTGTCTACGCTTGTTTACGTCCTCCAAAAAACGTTAAATTAGGCATATTTAGTGCAGTGACGGCACGTGGGTCCACGTGATGCACGTGCAAAATTGTTGTTTACTAATTAGACCATGATAAACCGTTTTTTAGCCGTGCTTCGCTTCACTCACCCGTCCACACGAACCCGGATTTTTTTGAATCCGTAACCTTTTTTTCCGGACAGGGCTTTCTCACCAATGTTTCTGAGATTTGTTATGAGTAAATAACAATTATTCACAAAAGTGGAGGTGGCTAGTGGTGGGTAAGACCGCTGTAAATAGCTCAAGAAGTTCTCTAGACCTTCTGAAAAAAAAAAAAGGGTCAGTGCCGGTCACAGGGTTCGTACAGGTTATGGAAAACCTGGAAAGTCATGGAATTTAGGAATTTCAACTTTCAGGCCTAGAAAGTCATGGAATTTCATTGTCGGTCCTTGAAAGTCATGGAAAATTAAAGTTTTGTTTGATAAATCAGTTACTGCAGATGACAAGGCAAGGACAATGCAAGATAGGGGGAGCAATTGAACAGTGCCTGTTGAATTGTTTAAGGTAAAAAAAATACCCTAAAACACGGAACGCTGTTAAAATTTCTGAAACTGACAGCTAAACCTAAGGTCTTTAAAAACTTGAAAAGGTTATGGAAAAAGTTATGGAAAGTCATGGAATTTGAAGAGCTCAAAAGAGTACGAACCCAGGGTCAGTGATGACCAGAAAACTGACGCTACATCAGCCACCAGCTAACAAAACAAGCTACTTTTGTAACTATTGCTCCATTTAATAAAACCTATTTCAGCATCCAATTCTACCTGTAGTAGGAGGTTTCGGCAGTAATTAACTCTTTTCGCCCATTTTTCGCCATTTCCTATTCCACAGCTATTAATTTTACCTTTCTTATAAAACCAGAAAATAAAATTCTAAGGGTTACTCACTCAATTCATTGGAACAAATGAATCAGTCTGTACTCTGTCACAGAACTTGTACGTTTCACAACAAACAAGCACTGGTACGTTAAATGCCTGAGCCATCATAGCAACCATAGAGGAACCAACACGTGACTTGACATAGCCATTGGCAAGCAAGACATGGCCACCAAAGAAAACTTTAGACACCTGTGAGAGGGAGAATCAGCCCACACATTTCAACTAGCAGTTCCTAGTTTATACTGACTCCAACAAGTGTAGTATGTAACACCACTTGAATTTGCAACGGCTAGTTTATGTGACTTAATAACCTAGATGCCCACTAAATCTTTTTTTTGGGGTGGGGATTTTTAAGTTGCAACCTTCAAAACTTCATTCAGTACCATGGCTAATTTGTTATTTCCCACTCCGTACGTCTCTTTAGTTTGATTTTGAATGAACTTCTACTCTACAGACATTCCCTTGCATATCATTACGTACCTCCTTAATGACATACCACAAGGCGCTAATTAATACATATGAGCATCTGATCCCATGTTTCACCAGTCTTCTCAGACATTCTCGACCTAGATGAAGGAAAAAGAGCCTGTGAATGTTGTCTGTTCTGAGAAATGGTGTGATCAACATGTCACGGGCATGGGACAAAGAAAATGAAATCTGAGTCCCCAACAGGAATTCAACCTATGATCTTCTCTACACTGGTAAGATGTTCATTTATCAAACACATAGCAATTTCAACATTGCTGATCCTAGCAGTAGGCAGGATGCATGTCATACATGAACCTTGTATATGGCCCAGCTTGCCACGAGTCTTTCATAGCTAAGTGGTTAGAGCATCCGACCAGTGTATGGAAGGTCATAGTTTCAAGGACTCAGAATTTTCGGCTTTGTCCTGTGTTGATCAAATCAATTCTCATTTCTTCACCAAGCTTAAAAATTACCATCACTAATTGATCACTTTGTCTGTTTTGTTTCTAACACAAAGGCCATTTATACAGTAAGATACATGTATGTAATGTCTGAACAAATGCAAATGAGCAGTTAGCTACATCCTATGAAACCCAAGAGTATAGGGGGGGGGGGATAAAGAACTGTTAGACTGACCTAAATAAATAAAACACAAAATAAAAGTGTGTTAGACTATTTCTTTTTACAGAAATCGGTTTAATGTGGACAATGTAAACCTTACCTTCAAACTTTGGTCTTGAGTCAACAACAACTCTGAACTCTTTTCCAGCATTGTGAGCATCTTTTAAAACTTTTAACACAGCGAAGAACTTAAGATAAAAGAAGTAACAAGTTTGCAGCGAATTAAATCTGATCAAATACATGCAATGTACCTTGACAACAATTACAGGTTCACTTACAAACTCTTGCAGATTTAGCACTGAGTTAACTTGACTCACCAAGCATATGTTAGTATAACATCCCCGTCATTAATCTTGGTTCTCGCATATGTCTCAGAGATAGCAACTCCAGCTAAAACGTGTTTTTCCAGGATAAATTTATCAATGCTCTTGATGAGATTGTTATTTGCCCTAAAATTATAAAATAAATTATAATCCTTATTGGTTCTAGGTTTGATCTTACATTAAATATAATATAATTAGTAGTAGAATTGATTTTGAATTCAAAGGGAGATTCAGAATATTGACAAGACATGCAAAAATAATAGTAAGTGTTAAGTGGTCCTGTGTCTTATTATTGGGCTGCCTGTGGCAAAGACCAATCTAAAATGAGTGGCGTTGTCTGTGCAGCAAAAGACAAAATGGCTGACAGATCATGCTACCCGTCCCACTAAGATGAGGCATCTTTTTTCAATTATTGAGGGAAGGGATGAGTCATTTCGGAAAAAAAAAACTTGACGCCGAAAACAATATCCTTGCATAAAGATATTTGTCCTATATTTACTTTCACTTTTGAAGGGAGAGGCCTGGTCATTTAAGATATACACAAGAAAAATGGGTGCCGTCAATTCCCTCAATATGAATACAAATACAAATACCGTAAGCAAGTCCCCCTTTCGAAACAAGAAAATATAGGTCTTATTTTTAACTTCCACATTTCCACAATGCACCCCTCCACAGTCCCTCTAATCTCAAAAATATAGCATGACAGAACTGACAGGGTAAACTTTTAGTGTTTTGAAAGACCGATACATACCAGTAATTTTCTGTTTTAGTTTTGATTTGCCTGATATTTCATTAAAAGTTCCTCTTAGTGTCCAGGTGAATGTGTTCAGTTTCACCAGGCAGCAGCCCAATGTACCCCAATTATCAGGGTCTTGTTTTATTGAAATATAACTGGGGTCTTTTCAGTACTGTCTATGACCTGATAGTTTATCAGTACATCAGCCACAGTTGCTGTGTACAATGTGTTATGTTACTGGTTCCTCAGTCAGTGTTATTAGGGTGTATAAAGGTTTCTGTGCACAGCATACCTGTTCTTCTGGCATGTCAGGAGATGAATGGGTAATCTCAAGCTTGAAGTATTTGATTGCATGACCCATACTAACAGACAAAGGATGGCACTGTGTCAAGAAATTGCAAAATACCAAGGACAAAAATATCAATAACAATGACAAAAAGACAGTGACATTGTATAAGCAACATTCTTTATCAGGGAGGTCTAGTTTGGAAATGGTTCCCTTGCTGAGCCATGTTTTGTTACAAATTACACCATCAGATTATAAAAGAATGCAACTGCAACACTGTCAAAAATCGGTATTACCAGTATTATTTATTGTGCAAGCCACTATTTATGACAACTCCTTTGGAGTTGGAGTGACATAATCAGCTATTAACTGTGGAAAGAAGTGAACTTTACAGTCCCTGAAATGATTCCAACCCCTATATGAGCCATTAATCATGCATCCTTTTAAAATTCAACACCACTTTAGTAGGTGTTTCACCTCTTCTTCTTAACTACATAAAGTGTACATCATAGAGTCATTTCCCTCCCCCTGGAGGCAATCATTATAAACACTAAGTGGACTAAGGTTTCTTTTTTGCACTCATCTAATATATTAGGCAAGAAACATTTTATGCTTTGATTCAGTGATGTCCATGTATTATTTTAATACTGACCTATACATCACTAGTAACAAATTTTATGCACCATGCTATATTTCAACTAGTTAGAAAAACATTTAACTTAATACTGGTCACTCAGCAGGCTGTCTAATCAGTGGAAACTATTACCAAAACACTTATTTCCAACTTACCCTAACATCTTTTGTGTTACCAGGGTGAGAGTTGTTATACAAAGGAGGCTTATCTCCAAGTACCGAACTTACACTTTCACTTTCTAAAATGTACAACAGAAAGCTGGTTTACGAACTTAGAACATGCAAATGCCCCTGAATCGTAGCCATCAGTTACCAGCGCCGTACAAACGATTTATTGACAAGATCAAGCAAAACTAACTATGAGAGAACGACTGGAGAACTGACAATTTGACTAACAATAGACAACTGTTTAACTGTGACAATAGACAGATCAAAATGCACCAATTACTGATTAAGAGTCTTCATAGCCAATACCATCACAGCTTAACTGACAGATGACCAATAACATCGCGACATAATTGACCAATCAGATCAATAACCAGAGTATAATAACATCAACTGACGT